CTTAAGAATCCTATCAGCTGACACCGTCACCAGCAGAGTGAGACCATACCCGTTTCTGTGATACACCGTGGTGTTCCCGTGGTGGTGGGGGGTGCTCTGGTGTCTGCCAAGGAGCACAGGAAGCGACAGTGCCCTTGGGTGCCGTGAATGAGCATTTTAATACTGACAGCCCGTTGACTGCATTATGAAGGATGACACACGTGTTTTATTTCACTTTATTTAAACGCACTGTTCACTAAGCCACCATTCTCTTGGGCATTGTTTTGTGTGGATACTTAGCGCTTTGAAAGTTTTGACAAGTTAGCAGCAGAAAGGAAAACTTCACAGTGATTTATGATTAGATTACAACTCTGCAAAGCTTTGCGCTGTCAGCTATTTTAAAGCCTTTAATGACTTAATTTGGATATTCCTTTTAATAGGAATTAGAACTGCCAAGTAAAAATTGAGTAATACATACCCATTGTCTGCAGCAAAGCAGTGATTCAGTTATCTTTTCTTCACTTACGGTTACTTTGGAAGCCACCACTGTACTGGGTCTCAAAAATTGAGAAATGTAGAATTGTGTAGCACTGTGGTCTGTGTAGTGGTATACATTGGTGTCACTTTGGGGACTGGCAAAGCATCTTTTAAAAAGCCACTTGCCCCCTCTTGGCGTGTTTCTGTCCCACGCTTAGTCACGTGAATTATATTCTTTCTTAGAAGCGCAGCTTATGCTCAGTGCGTGGTTTTCTCTGTGCCTTTCGTTCACCGGAATTTTCCTTCTGGGCATCTACTTTTGTCAGTCTGTCACAGTTTTTCCTACCATTGGTGTGAATTAAGGATAACCAGGCCCTCCTGCTACCTGATATTTTCTTACTCTCAGTTTCGTCCACTTTGCTACCCATGTTTCTTTAGGTACTAATCCTTCAGATTAAGTCCATCAGGAATTGTATTTTGTATTCTATGTGAAATCCCAGGACACATTTCAAAGCAGGGGAGAGAGAAGGGGTTGTCCTTCACTTTGTCTACTTTGGTTGGGTTTCGGGGTGGGGACCGTTGTCACCCAGTAGTTCTAGAACCCCATCCTAGAGCTTTTGCTGAGGGTGAGGCTTACAAAGGGCTTTTTGCTGAAGCATCCTGTCCTGCTGCTTAATGCAGCAGCATTGCACAAAGGTTCCAGGTGGCCAGGTGAGGAAGGTCATCTGCAGGAAGTTCTAGACAGAAACCGGTCACTGCCTTGATGGGTTTCACCTTGCCTTCATGGACAAACCCAGTGACTGCCTTCATGGACAAACCCAGTGACTGTCGTTCTTTTTCTTCCCATTAGACACCAGAGCCAGCAGTAGAACCGCCCAGAGCCCCTGAACTCAAGCAGGGGTTGTACGAGCTCTCAGCGGGCAACTTTGAGCGGCATGTCGCACAAGGTAAGGTGGGTGAGTCCGGTGGGCACTGGGGGTGGATGTCCGCTTCGCAGAACCACTGATGGTTACTCCTTGACTTGCTGGGCCTTGCCTTCTTGCTACTCGGGGGCTCTTAGGTAACTGCATCAGTAGACCTGATAAAGTGTCTCTCTCTTCAGGAACATTTAGGATTGTTGTTTAGTGCTCTCCTTAAACGTTTCTCTTTTTATCTCTGCCCTATAGAAACAGAAATGCCAGGTCTAATGCTAAGCTAAAGCCTAAAGTGTGAAAATTTGTAGCTCACAAATCATGAATAGGCACACTCAGTTTGCACACTAGCTGAACAGTGCATCCTTGGATAAGAAAGTGTTTATTTACAGGCATAATTACTGCACTTCATGGATACTGCATTTTTTACACATTGAAGCTTTGTGGCAACCCTGCATCAAGCAAGTCTAGCCATTTTTCCGGTAGCATGTGCTCACTCCATGTCTCTCTGTCAGCATTTTTTATCAATAAAGTATTTTTTAATCAAGCTATGTACATTGTTTTTTAAGATATAATGCTGTTGCACACTTAGTAAACTATAGTATAGTGTAAAGATGCCTTTAATATGCTCTGGGAAACCAAAAAATTTGTATGACTCACTTTATTGCGATATTCTTTATATTGCAATGGTCTGGAACCAAGCCTTCAATATCACTGAGTTATGCCTGCATATGAACGTTAATCATACACTTATTGACCCCAGACAGAAACAGTAGCTTCTCCTGCCCATTTAAACAGAATTTAGTAGAACCATTATAACATGTGAATGAAATTAGGTATTCTTTTTTTTTTTTTTTTTTTTTTTTGTCTACTAATTTAAAATTCTCGCAATTTTTATTTTTTTATTGATTACTCTAGAACTTTTAACACGTACATATAGCTTAACAAA